TGGACTGGAACCCCGGTAGGTGCCGTGGCTGGAAAGCAGGAAGCCACGGTGGGTCCTGGGCAAAGGCAGCACGGGCAGAACATCCTGGCAAGGGAACACCCCACTGTAGACCCCGGGAGCCTGATTTGTGCTCAGGGCTTTGCGTGGGTAGGTCTAGATGCAGACATAGGGGGAGCCTCCGGCCGGCTTGTGCAGCCTGCGTTGTGTCCAACACTGTGGGTGGGGGTAGGGAGGGGCACTCCCTCCTATGTACGTCAGGCGCCAGGAGGAATCCTCTTAAATAACAGGGGAGTGAATGCTCGAAATGCCTACTCCCAAGACAGTAGAGAAATCACTCTTATCTCAGCTGGTTCAGTGGTGTTTTGTTTTGTTTGCACGGAAAAGCTGCATTGTCTTCTTATTTTCAGTCCTCTCCATATTTCACAAGACCTGTTTCTCTGATGAGATTAAAATTTCTCTGTGGTTAGGTGTTTTGCACACCACTGCCTTGCCTCTCCCATTGCACCTTAAAGACCGGCTTACAGCAGGTGTTTTCAAATTGCCGATGATCCCTGGGGTACCCCAGGGACCCACAGTCAGCTCTTCGGAACCCACATGTGGATCCTCATTAGCCAGTTTATCATAAGTTTGATTTTCCTTCCAGTCCCGAATGCTACTAATGACTCTGCCTACGCTCACCATCAGTTGGGGATACGCAGAAGGTGTCTGCCCCTTAAAAATCAGCCTAATTCAGAGGAGGGGCTGAGAGTGGCTGGAGATGGATGAGCTCTGTCGGTGGAGGACTGGCGGCCAAGTTGTAGCTTTAGCCTTGTTTGTACACATTTGTTAATATTGTTTCATTGGGAAGTTCAAAGTGGGAGTCTTCAGTTTTCGAATATTAGGGGTATCTGAGAAGAGATGTTTGATTGCCAAATGGCATAAGGAATCAAACAAAAGAAAGGTTTGGAAAGAACAGGAAGACCTAGGGTCCTCCACTGCTGAACTGCCTGGGCACCACATTTAGATAGTTCAGTTCCTATGCTGCTCTGTGCCTGACCTTGAACTCCAGAGCCCAAATCTGTGGTAATGGAGGCTGAATGGCCTGGCAAGAGCTGTTCTCGCCACTGGGAGAGGACTGGGGGACACCATGACTAAAGGTTATACCAGGAACCCTTGAAATGTGAGGACTGCCCTTCTCCCAACAGAAATGCAGTGGTATTATCCAAAAAAGGGGTTTGAAAAGGCCTGGAAAGCCAAGCACCAGGCTTGCAAACACGTTCAAGGGGAAGCTACAGAGATGATGGCTGAGGGGGTCTCCGGACAGGACCCTGAGCACGGTAGGATTAGACAGATGGAGGGACACCTCTCTAGACTAGGCTGGAGTGAGGAGGAAAAACGAGGTGAGTATGTGGGGGAGTTTGGAAGCGTGCTGAAAGGTCTAGAGAGGGGGGCCCAGTGGGTGGTTTCCAAGTGCTCTGTTGAATGGGGAAAGAGATAATTCAGTCAGGATGAGAAACAAGTGGATCAGGAGTCTGGAGACGCAGGAGATAATTTCTCAGTTATTCTTTTGTGCTTTTCAAACTCTGTGTTTCTGAGTCTGATGCTCTTGGCACATGGGCACGCCATTATAACTCACATTAGCTACCTCCTTTGACCTTTTTCTCTCTTTGAGTCAGTTTTTCCTCTGGTTCCCACAGCCCTTTGCATATATTTCTCTCACTTCTGTGACTTTATTCATTACCCAGGTGTTAAGAATAAATGGGGAAGGTGGTAAAAGTCCAATCAGTCTGAACTGCTGAGGCTCCCACACACATCCCGGGGTCCTTCCACAATTGGACTCCAACGTGGTTTGATTAGGGCCTTCAGGTTCTTTTGTTAAAGGGCCCAGGAGCAGATAGCTAAATCCCCTTTCTCTGGTGTAGCCTTGGGCGGGGTGCTGTGTGAGGGGAATGCTTGCAGATAAAGCTCCTGCAGGGTCCTGACCTACAACTGAGTGTGCTTTCTGCCTCATGCTCACAAACACCCTCCAAGGAAGGACTGTGTGCAGTGTGCTCTGAGTGGGACCTCCTAGCTAAGAGTAAGAAAGCCATGGTTCTGAGGTCTCCAGAATGGCTCCTGTGGTTAAAGAATGACAACCACCCTTCTGTTTTCTCCATTCCCTAATGTATGTGCTTTGTAACTTCTAAGTGAATGCAACATAAGTATCCATATAGGGAGTGTCCTTAACGCCTAACACCAAGAGTTGGGTCAGGGTTTCTTAGGAGTCACAAGAAAAAAGAATCTTCTCCCAATTGAATTGTTGAATTTTAGGAGTCAGAGTGAGATAAGTAACATTGGAGACTTATGGTTAGTTCTTTAAAACAATGTAGCTCAGATGAACCCCCACCCAAACAATATGTGAGACATCCCTATTTACAAAATGAATTACGGGGTGGAGAGTGAGATAGTGATTTATAAATAAAATCTATCATAGTAAAGCTTTCTTTAGTGAAATCTACCAGTGGATTTAAAATATTCTATCAAAATCTAAAGTACGCATAATTCTAACACAATTCCACGTGCTAAGTGACCTAAGTACAAGGGTATTCCTAACAGCTTTTTTGTAATGGCAAGCTGTTATCCTTCCACTGAATAGTGATTAAATTATTGGCATAACAATGTTATACAGCCTTTAAGAGAATGGAGGATTTGTGATATGAAAAGATCTCCAAGATACATTGAATGTAAAATCAAGGTGAGGAAGTATGAAGAATATGTCATTCCTCTATGGGAAAAATACAGTTATATTTGTAAATACATGGAGCAGTTCTGAAAAGAAATGCAAACACTGGTTATGCTCTTCATCGGCAAAGACAAACAGATGGCTGGGAGGAAGGGCGAGGGTGATTTTTTTTTTTTTTTTCACTCTCAAGTATGGGTATTACCCACTCAAAATTTTTATTACATAAGCCTCTCCTAATTAAAAAAAGTTTTTATATCAATTTTGATACACCAATGTTGAAAAATGATTTTTGTCAAGTCAATTTCTATAATATCCCAACCTAAATTTTTTTTTCTCTCAATGAAAGTCTTAGGTTTTATTACCATTTAACTGTAATACTGGGCAAGTCAACCACCTACATGGACTCAGGCTCTTCATTTGAAAGTTGACAGGCTTAAGAGTACAGATGACTTCCAAAATTCCTTCTGGTCTCAGAAGATGTGGTTATAGGCTTTGATTATGCAGTATTTGGGAAAAGCAATAAACTGGCAAAGAGAAGGAATGTGTGTTAGCGAGTTTTGTTGATGCCGCAGAAGTAAAGTTCTACAAATGTTTGTATACACTTTGTAAATTTCACTTCTACTCCATTCATCTTTGAAATACCAAGGAACAACAAGAGAGGCATAGACAACTGAAGAAATTTATTTTTTTTCTAGGTACATAGATGACATAATTATAGACAAGTTTTGATACATAGGAAAACCCTTCTGTCCACCTTTCTCTTTGCTAAATGAATCGTCACAATTTTTACAATTTTTAAAACAATACACAGCTTTCCTGGGCTGAAGCAATCGCAAGGACATATTGGGACTGGTATATTACAGCTACTTACAATGTTTAAGAACAGCAATGGAGAAAAATAAGTTATTTAAATATTGATTTCATATACAGAAAGTGCAATGTTGTTAGTTGTTATATAACTTGCTTGACAGTTTGTTTTCTCTATCAATTTAAAATCAAGATGACTCGGACTACTATATTTTGTGAAAATAATACAGTACACACATGCAGCATTGACTTGAACTGATTTCTTTTGCTGCAGTTATGAAAGCAAATTTTGCTATGTCAGGAACTGGTTTGCCATAGACTAGTAACTTCCAAATTCACCCACACAAGGGATCAGGACAGAGAATAGGGCTGCTACGGAAGGCCATGGAAATCTATCTGCTTCTTGGTTATCTGGGAATGTAAATAGTGGTTGGGGCTGGCTGCATTTCTTCTAGACAGCTTTAAAAATTACACACAATGGATGTGTAGCTACCTGAGCCAAACTGCCTTTCTAGATTTCTTTTGTGCTTTCCAAAGAGTACACTTTTCACCCTTCCTCAACATTCTGTACCAAGTGCAACTGATTAAAACCGGATATTGCTGATGCCTCACACCTGTCTTCTGACAGGTGGCCCCTAAACCACCTTCATTAAAAGTCACACACACACATTCAGGATTTTCTAGGATCAAATTAAACGTTTAAAGCAAAAGAAGTCCAAACAAATACTAACAATTAAAAAAAAAGGTTCTTTTTAAAATTTTTTAAAGCACAATAAAGGAAAAACCTCATCAGACCCCCTATTAGGAAGATCTTCCCACTGAAAATCATTCATGGTCCCTGAATTTGATTTTTCTATGCAAAGGCAATGACTTCCACAGAAGAGTGACAAAAATATGGTTTGGCATTCTCAAAAAACTCCTCTAGGATGTTCCCTTTTCTGGTGCCACTTTTACTGACATGAAAATCTTACACTGCAAATGAACTAACTGGGAAATTTCACAGATTTCTCCTCCTTTATGATCAACTTCCGGACTTGGGCGCAGTCAGCTTAAACGATGAGTAGGATTGCAGAATGTCGGGCCAAGGCACTGGGCAGCTGGGTGAGGAGCGCATGTCCTCGCACCCACGTCCGTCCCAGCAAGAGAGACGCATCTCCGGCATGGGCACAGGTAGCCCTGCAACCCAGTCACGTTCCGCGGGGGCTGTGCGCACAACCCGAAGTGGTAAAATGGGCTGTTCTTAAGATTTCAGTAGAAAATTGGCAGCTTGAGCTTTTTAGTCTGCATTTCCACAACTTCTTCACATGGCATCTTCTAGAAGGTGAATATTATTGAAGAGACATATATTTTTTAAATGTGTACCAAAGCATGAAAAAATTTATCACCTGAGAACATCTCCTTTTCCTCAGAAACATGGATCCAAGTACAGAGAGCAAATGCTAAAGACGGCTTTGTAAATGAAACCACGCCCCCCCCCCCCCGCCCCGAGGGAAATTGTTTTAATGAGCAGATGAAATGTTTAATAAGAGCTTTTGATCAAGGCTTTGTGTTCAAAGTGTTTCTATTGTAAATGATCGCATTCAGTGCTTAAAATAGTTCTCATGATTAAGAATGTAAAGGAAATTCATTTAGTAAGCAACAGAAACCTTAATTTAGTTGCCTAAATTTCTATGTGCTAGAAAAATCAGACACCACACTAAAAAAAGGATGGAAAACGCTACAATCAGTTGGAAAACAATTGAAAATATGCAAATACTTAATACGTAGCTAACGTGGTTTATCTGGCTCCAAAATGAACTTTTATCCAAATTAAAAGAATATTCTCAATAAGGAAGGAAAATGGTATCTGAGTTATAAAAATTAGAAAAAAAAATTTTTAAATAGCTTACAAACTGCTTCCCTTTTTAAAAACATCTTTCTGAAATAGTCAACCTTCCAGTGACTTTGCAAAGCTGATCTGTTAGCCGATTTGGGGATGGACGTGGTCAGGAGTCCAAGTCAATACTGCAGTACGATGACCAACGTGGTAAACAAAACTAAACTGATTAAAGTGAAGGTAGTTGCTATACACACACACACGCACGCTCACCCACACGTGCACGCACACTCACGTACACACCCCATCTCTGAATTTCAGATAGCTTTTTACTGGATTTGTAGTTAGTGTAAAAACTGAAAGCCAACATGAACTTTGTGCCTGATAAACACCCCTACAAAATAAGCCATGTTAGAGTGAGGCAATTAGAAAAGCCCATTTTTGTTTTTTGCTGAAAACATCTCACATATGTTAGATGGCAGTCTAAGCTGAAGATTGGAAACTATGGTTACTGGGTAGTTAACACTAGGATAACTGCTTCAAAGCTTATATTAAGGCAAATAAAAGCTGATTGCTAGAAAGCAATTATTAAAATGTCTCTTGTTTACTTAAAGGAGAATAGGATTTTTTTTTTTTTTCCCTAGTGCAGCCAGATTTTCTTACTTTTGAACAAACAGGCATGGTCAATAGTGTACAGTGAACTCCCGAGTCTGTTACTTTGGCCTAGCTAAAGCCCGTCTGGCCCTCAGGTGTCCTGCAGGGCAACAGACAGAAGGGCAAGGGCGTTCTCAGAAACGAAACAGGCTGCCCCTCCCTCTGCTCCCAGCCTTCCCAGCACACCAAGATAGACTGGAGGCACAGCATGTGTGGCAAGTTGGCTTCCTGGTCCTTTTGTGTTCTGAAAATAAAAATAAGTGCTTGTCTTTTCTTTGGGGGTCAAAGAAAACCACACCAGTTTCCTCGAGGGGGCTTTTCTGGAGAAGAGAGGGTCATCAGTCCTGCGCCAAGGTTTCACGCTCTGTGTGGCCATACACTAGGCCTTTCTTCTGGATCTGGTCTGCATGTCCCGAGGAGGAGGAATTGCATTAGCATAAGCACAGTGAAAGGGTGGCTCTGGTCCAGGGAGCTCCATTTTGGGCCTGGCTACATGGCCTCGGGGCCTGGTGGCAGTTTGAAGAGTCTGGCTGCAGACACGAGCTTGCTAATGTGTCTCTCCTCTGTGATGCCGGCCTCCTGAAGGCAAATGTGGGACAGAGAAGGCACTTGGCCCAGTGTGCTGAACCCGGCTTCGGTGAGGGCGCTGGTGTACATGGGCAGACCGATGGAAACCAGCCAATCTGACACAGACGAAACGCATCCGGGAGAGAGGGGCTTTCTACAGATTTCTGTGAGTCCACCACTTGGGATCTGGACAAAGAAAGAAAGCAATTTTATGAAGACTTGACATAGGCCGCTGGAGGGCTCCTTCTATAACTAAAAGGAGCACGACTCAAATACTATACTGCCAGACTACTGGAAAGCGCTCGTGCCATGAGATGTCCGAGACCAAGAGTAGCCTCGAGAATTCTTTCTCAGCTTCTCAAAGGGGAGACATATCTTCAAGGAAGTTTTTCAGGTTCTAGAAAGTACTTGGAATTAACTCTAATCCTAATTATGTGTCCAAGTCTCCAAACTGTAAGCATTTCTATACCTGTTATTTTGTCTCCTTCAAGGAAATCCCTAGGTAATTCAAGAGGCAGGCCTGTGCGGTGTGTGGCAGACAAGATAGTCCATGGGCAGAGTTTTTATAAAACAGATTTTCCACTGTACTTTGAATCTACATTGACCAGAAAATTAAATATTTCATCCATGTAGTTATAAAGAAATTAAAATACAGTGATACCAAGTGTTGACTAGGGGAGGGAAATGGACATTTACACACTACTTCCAAGAAGACCAGGTGCTTCTCTTTCAGGAAGGTAGTGTACTATCAATTGTGCAAGTCCTTGAGATCTTGTATACGCTTGTGTAAGCAAACCCCCTTAAAGCACTATATATATACTCAGAAATTAATCTTGGGAGTCTATACAAAGATTATATATTAACAAGGGCATTCTTTACTAAATTTTTTGAAATAAGTTGGGGAAAAATTTAAGTGTTTCAACAATATAGGTAGGATTGGTTAAAAGAGGGCACATTTACTAGAGCATTTTGACTTACTGATAAAAGCATGTTCAGGAACAGATTCATGAAACTGAAAATGGGTTTCAGACCTGTTCATTTACCATTGTATGTGCAGAAAAAATGACTAGTCAGATTTTTAAGAACTTTTTCATACTGCTAGGATTATAGAACATTTTCATTTTTCCTTCTTTCCCAAACTGAATTTCTAAAACTTTGCAGGCTGAATATGTATTCCTTTCCCTCCAGGTGTCTCCTTTCCATAGTGGCCATGCTCCCAGGGCTACTTCGTGTTTGCCAGCATGCTCGTCAGCGCTCTGACTAAATGGGCTTCAAAAGCCGAACTGGGGGCACCGCAGGCGCCAGCCGCTCACCGCCATGCGGTGCTGCTTCCGCAGAAGCTTCACGCGGATCTGGTCCATGTGGGTGGCGATGTCCCTCTCGGGCTGATCTAAGTCCTCGGCGTATCTCTGCACCAGGGCTTCAGGGATCCCACAGCGGCCATGCTGCAGAGGGGAACAGAGACATGGCATCAAGGGCTGCAGGGGAATTTCTTCTTCCAACAACAGCAAACACGAGGTAGGGGAAGACACCGGTGGCTACTGGAAAGTAGCACCAACAGTTTTTCATTTTAAATGAATGTATTTGTAGTCAGGATGGATGTTTTAGAGAGAATGGGTTTACATTTTGATTTTCTGGTACCGATGAATTCTAGGGAAATGTTTTGAAATGTAGGTAAAGCAGAAGCGGTCTGCAGACCCTCTCCCAGTCTGCAGGGGAGAAGGGCACACTCGCGCCCTACAGGGCATCTACTGGTGGTGCTGCATCTCTCTTACCCTGTCAGGTCGTCGGCCAGTGCTTACTGTAGAGAACAGCTCTCACTACCTTCAGTTCAGAGGGGTTGATTCACTAAAGATCAAGGAGGAGGAGCAAGGGGTGGAGGATCGTACTTTAAGGGATTTGCGGTCAAAAGAGTTTTATAACCAGGACTCCCAGAAATGCGTTATCAAAGAATACACATTCTTAGGAGTAATGCACAGCTACATCTATTATCATTTGTCTTCAGAATCATTTTGGTATTGGTAGATCTACTCTCTCTCTCTCTTTTTTTTTCTAATAAGCGGTGAGTTTTCATATGAGTTTTCTCGGTGTTTCTGAGTGAGAGATCTCATAATCATTCCCCCATCACTCATACAGATAACTATACAATATAATTATGGCTGAAAAGGGTTCTGCAATTTTCACATTGCAATGTTCACATTTATTTGTTCCTAATAATACCTGCAGAAGGCAGTTGTGCAGCTTATTATTAATCCCATTTTACAAATAGGAAATGAAATGGGGATTTGTTAACATTTATAAATGTTAACATTTGTTAACATTTATAAACATACAGGTTCGTAAACATTGGAAACATTGGAAACTACAAGTCTGTCCAGTAAGCCAGCCGTTTCTGGAACCAGCTCTCCCTGCAAAATACAGCTGCCAAAATGAAAAATAAGCAAAAGAAGAGAGAAAAAGAAAAGAAAGGATAAGTCCAAGACTCTGTGTTTCATCTGGACGTGGCTCCCATTCATGCTAGTACCTGCCTCCCCGCCACTGCCCCCCCGCCCCCGACCCTCAGCAGAGTGTCGGTGGGGGTGCCCTCACCACTAGGCTGGCTCTGTGGGGCAGCTGTACAGCTCTTCTCACCAGGCTGCCTAACTTAAAGAAGCAGAGGCCCTTATGGCCTTCAGTACCTTATCAGAGTATGGCTCCTCAGTGAGATCGATGCCTTCAGCTTGTAACTTGTTTTCCGTGAGCATTTCCAGATCGACTCCCCGAGCGCAGGAGATCTTCCTGGTCAGAGCTGGGCCCAGCTTCACACCGTGCTCCTGGAGGCTTGTGCTCTCTGGGAGCTCGGAGAGCCAGGGCGGTGGTCTAGCGCTCGGGGGGCTGCCAGGCTCCTGTCCTGAGGGAGGCCTGGAAGCCTGAGGTGGGTGACAGTCACTGGGGCTGCCCTTTTTCGCAGGCAGGCTTGGGGCATCGGGGCCGGGGGGGCTCGGGTGGAGTCCATTGGCCAGGCGCTCTCGGCTCTTCTTGGCAGGAACAGGTGGAGGCTGGGCCGGATGCTTGGCCTGTGCTCTTGTCTCGGGGCCCCTCTGCTCAGCAGCTAGGCCTTCTTTGGTGCCCGGGGGGTGATACGTTCCTTCAAAATCGAGGCCTTTCCTGTGGCCCTCAAGAGGCATCCTTGTTAAACTGGGTTTGACTCCGGGATGTTGGGCATCATAGGTTTTGGGCAGACACGGAGGAGGGGATGCACCACAGGGCGAGGGTGCTGTGGAGCCTTCCAGTTTCCTAGTCGCTGGCTTCTGAGGTTCAGAACATCTCTTGCTTTGGGTCAGTAGCAGTGCATTGTCAACAGCAGGGTCTCGTTTGGGGCTTTGAACCTTTGCGATGGAGGGGGTTGTCTTTTGTGGCACTTGTGGTACAGTCTGAGGGCAGGGGTCTGTCACCTCGCCAGGCACATCCTTCTCAGCAGCAGGCTCTCCTTGAAGGTCATCCAGGGAGTGGGATCGAGGCCAAGCTTCCACAGCCTGAGGGCCGTCCAGGGTCTCGCAGCTCCGACAGATGGAAACAGGGAGGCTTCTTCGGTTTTTGTTCGGACCAGTCCCACACGGCTGGTCACAGCACTTGGAAGCTCGAGGGGTAAGGCCGCTGCCCAGCCTGCTCTCCTCCCCCTGCTTCAGTGCATCGGCCGACTTTGTTAAAGGCAGCGTTGGGTAGTGGCCCAGCTGATTCCTGTTGAATGACTTTAAGCTGGACTCCGTTGACGACTTGACAGAGAGAAGGCCAGTCTTCCGACTCTTGCCTGTGAGACAAGGAAATATCTTATAGTCATTTAAAAAAAACAAAAACACAAATCAGTCAGACTAATGTGTAAAGACATGCTGACGTAATTGATATCTCCAACTCTTGTGTCCCATTGCTGAATGATACTAAGGACAGAAAAATCACCATTTAGGACGTTGGGTGACAGAAGGTTATTATGGCCCCATCTTTATTTTTAGAAAGAATTCTCAGACTTATTAATGGACCCATAGAGACTGAAATTAATTGTCATGAGGAAAAGAAATAGGCTCTGTCAGGCAGTAAAATAAATCTAGACATTATGCCTAGAAATAATAGCGTTTGATCATCTGTATGCAGTTTATAAAGCATAGGACGGGATTTCTTTCAGGGAGGCCAATTTCCTGAGGTCAGGCTGTGAAGGGCCGGTGGACTGGATTCTACCTGTGTTACCCTAACGTTTACTGGTGACCACAGAACTCTCAAAGTACACCTTTCTCTAAGCTCTCCCCTCTTACTCTGGCTTGTTGGTGTGTGTGAAGTCAGCGTATCCTAGAAACAAGTCAGCCCATCTTGGTATAAGTCAGTAAACAAGCTTCACTAAGTATTTTGCCTGAGATAATCTGTAAAATACTAATATGGTTCTAATTTCCAGGGGAGCAACAGCCCTGATTAAGATCAGTTATCAGGCTGATAATTGAACTGATTAACCAGACATCATCTACTGATTTGATGGTTGTTAAGTCGAGGTCAACTGCTAGTATTGCTTGATAAGCTTTAAGGAGAATTTGCTTTGTGTGGTCAGGCCCTGTGCTAAATGCTTAGTTTTCATCAGTGCTTTTAACACAGACACTCCATAATTAACTGTCCTTTGCTATATTTCGGTTAATCCCATGTTTGATGTCTGCTTTGACGATGGGTTGAAATGCCTGAGAATATCCCAGACGATCCTACTATTCCAGGCCAATAGAAAAAGACACAAATTTTAAACCCACATCAGGTTTGGAAGATACAAAGAAAAGGCATACTGTAATCTCTGAAAGAAAGGCTTTCTTCCTGGTCTATTATTTCAGTAAACATTTCTAATGAAATATTTTAATTTAGAAATTTTGACATCTCCCCATTAAGGAATCTCAGCCTTTCAATAAAAAAGCAGTGAGGAGACATTGGGTGGTAGATGGACTGGATTAGGAAGGAGTAGATATGGTGCCCACTCTGGGAACCTGGAGATGGATACTTTTAGGTAAATGAAAGATCTTCTCTCATAAAGCCTCTGTGTGCTGTACAACTGAGGGAGAAGGAACAAGGAGAAAAGGCCAGGGCACCGTGACATTACTAATGGATTGGCCATTATCAGCAGAGAAAATCAGATTCCTTCTAGGATTCCCGTTTTCTACCAAACTCGAATTCCAAACTGATAATACTAAATGTATGATGTCAGGCGTAACTCCAGACACCAAGATGGATAAAAATAAGAGCTGCCTCAACCAGACTTATAAATAGCCCCATCCTTTTAAATCAGACACAAATCAACACATGAAGTATTCTGTACTTGGCAAAGCAGATGCATGGTCAGATGGCCTCTGTCCTCCCTTATGTGTGATAATGTGAGGCCTAAGACCCCGTCTGCCTGTGTGAGCAACATGCTAAGCGCTATAGATAATTATTTCATTAGTTACATGGAGAATGTCAGGTCATTGTTACTCCTAAGGATACTGACCACGGTCCCATTTTTTTAGTCATCACAGGTGAAATGGAAAAGAGAAATTACTTCTTCATGAAGCATATCCTGCTAAACGTAAAGTGTAAAAATCAGTTAAAATAGAAAATTCTTAAAACCGTTTTAGTATGCATTTTAGATATATGGCTTTCCTTCCCTTTGGCTATTAATAGAAGCTGAGTGTATAGACTGCACTTCCACATCTACTTGTCCTGCAAAGATCCTTGGGTTCACCCTGCAGGTCAAATACAGTTTGCCAGCTTCTGTCATTCCTCAGCAGGTACTCCTTGATTCTTTTGAAAAAGCATTAAGTCTGCCTGCCAGTGTTATCTGTGAAATCCTTACCAATCCAAAAACAGTTTGGGGAATGAAATTCCTGAAAATGTTTCGATGTGGAAAGGTTATTAACAGGAGAGGAAAAATCTTGGGGACTTACAGGAAGACTTCGACATTTACTAGAACTCGGACGTCACTGTGCCCCAGTGCTCTAGTGGTGGGCTTTCTAGTGTTCACGCGTAGTCTCCACACTGTGTTGTGCTGGTTTCAGGTGTACAATACAATGATTCAACGATTCCGTACATTTCTCAGGGCTCACCAAGTGTATTCTTCATCCCCTTTATCTCTTTCACCCATCCCCCACCACCTCCCCTTTGTTCTCTGTATTTAATAGTCTCTCTCTGTTCGTTTTGTTTCTTAAATCCACATATGAGTGGAATCATATGGTATTTGTCTTTCTCTGACTGATTTATTTCACTTGGCATTATACCCTTTAGGTCCATTCATGTTGCTGCAAATGGCAAGATTTTATTCTTTTTCTATGGCTGAGCATATATACTGCATCTTCTTCATCCATCTATCAGTGGACATGGGTTGCTTCCATATCTTGGCTACTGTAAATAATCCTGCAATAAGCTAAAGAGTGCATATATCTTTTCAAATTAGTGTTTTCATTTCCTTTGGGTCAATACCCAGTGGTGAAATTACTGGATCATATGATAATTCTATTTTTACTGTTTTTTAAAAATATATTTATTTTAGAGAGAGAGAGAGCATGAGTAGGGGGAGAGGCAGAGGGAGAGTAGCGGACTCCCCTCTGAGCATGGAACTGGACTTGGGCTCAGTCCCCCAACCCTGAGGATTATCACTTGAGCTGAAATCTAGAGCTGGATGCCTAACCAACTGGGCCACCCAGGCACCCCCTACTCTTTTTTAAAATGTTTCACAGAATTCACCTGTGAAGCCATCTGGTTCTGGTTTCTTTGGTTGAGAGTTTGGTTTTAAAAAAAATTTTTTTTTTTTTTTTTTTTTTTTTAGAGACAGAGCACCTGTACATGCGCAAGTCAGGGAGGGAGGGGAAAAAGAGAACGTTGAGCATGGAGCCCCATGTGGGGCTGGATCTCAAAACTGTTGAGATCATGACCTGAGTGGAAATCAAGTGTCAGACGCTTAACCTACTGAGCCACCCAGGCACCCCTTGTTGAGTGTTGTTGTTGTTGTTTTAAATTACTGATTCAATGTCATTGCTAGTGGCATTATTGATGGTATAGTGGTGAGCAAAATTGCCTTCCAATTTCACTGCTTGTAAGTGATCTGTTCAAATTTTCTTTCTTCCTGATTCAATTTTGGAAGGTTAGGTTTGTAGGAACTTACCCATTTCTTCTAGGTTGACCAATTTGTTGGCATGTAATTTTTCATAATAGCCTTTGTTTTTCTGTGTGTCAGTTCTTTTGCCTTCATTTCTGATTTGGGTCCTCTCTTTTTGATGAGTCTAGCTAAAGGTATTATCAATTTTCTTATCTTTTCAAAGAACCAGCTCCTGATTCCATCTGTTCCATTTTTTTAGTCTGTATTTCATTTATTTCTGCTCTGATCTTTGCTTCCTCTACTGGCTTTGGGCTTTCTTGTCTAGCTCCTTTAGGTGTAAGGTTAGGTTGTTTGAGATTTTTTTCCTGTTTCCTGAGGTAGGCCTATATTGTATAAGCTCCTCTCTTAGAACAGCTTTTGCTGTATCACAAAGATTTTGGACCATTGTGTTTTCATTTTCATTAGTCTCCAGGTGTTTGCTCATTTCCTCTTTGAGTTTTTGGTTGACCCATTTATTGTTTATTAGTACATTATTTAGCCTTCATGTATTTGTGCTCTTTCCAGATTTCTAGTTTCTAGTTCCTGGTTGATTTCTAGCTGTGGTTGGAAAAGATGTCTGATAGCACTCAACCTTTTTGAATTTGCTGAGACTTGTTTCTTGGGCTAACATGTGATCTTTTCTGGAGAATGTTCCATGTGCACTTGAATGTGTATTCTGTTTTGGGGTAGAATGTTCTGAATATATTTATTAGGTCCATCTGACCCATTGTGTCATTCAAAGCCACTGTTCCCTTGTTGATTTTCTGTCTGGATGATCTGTGCATCCAAGTAACTGGGGTGTTCAAGTCCCCTACTATTATTGTATTACTCCCAATTTCTTCCTTTATGTCTGTTAATATTGTTTTATATATTCAGGTGCTCCCATGTTGGGTGCATAAAGTTTTACAAATGTTATATCTTCTTACTGGATTATTCCCTTTATCATTAAGTAGTGTTCTTCTCTGTCTCTTGTTACATTATCCATTTTAAAGTCTATTTGTTCCAATATAAATACTGCCACACAAGCTTCCTTTTTACTTCCATTTGCATGGTAAATGTTTTTCTATCCTTTCACTTTCACTCTGTATGTGTCTAGGTCTGAAATAAGTCTCTTGTAGGTAGCATATAGATGGGTCTTGCTTTTCTATACATTCAGTCACCCCACCTTTTTATTGGAGCATTTAGTCCATTTATATTCAAAGTAATTACTGGGGTGCCTGGGTGGCTCAGTCAGTTAAGTGTCTGCCTTAGGCTCAGGTCATGATCCCAGGGTTAGGGGATCGAGCCCCATGTCGGGCTCCCTGAGCAGTGGGAGTCTGCTTTTCCCTTTGCCGCTAACCCACTTGTGCTTGTAAAGCTCTCTCTCTCTTTAATAAATAAAATCTTAAAAAAAAATCCAAAAACTCAAGGTAATAATTAAGTCTGTACTTATTGCCATTTTGTTACTTGTTTTACAGTTGTTTTAGTTCTTCTCTGCTCCTCTTTTCTCTTAATCTCTTCCCTTGTGGTTTGATAGCCTTCTCTGGTGATATGCTTGGATTCCTTTCCCTTTATTTTTACATGTCTATTACAGGTTTTTGATTTGTGGTTACCATTAGTTTGATATACAACATCCCATGCACATAGCAGTCTATATTAAGTTGATGGTCACTTAAGCTTGAAATCATTCTAAAAGCACT